ATCTATCTATCTATCTATCTATCTATCTATCTATCTATCTATCTATCAGGAGGATATTGGTGCTGAGGTTTTTGGCTGTTTACTTACTATGCAAAGGGATGGACAGAATTTAACATGAATATTTTTCACAAGATATTGTGTTTCCTGTCTAAAAAAAGAAATTTCCACCTTCTTCCTTAACTCTAGACCAATTTCCCCAAGCGAGAACCAGGTATTGCCATGCCTAGAGATACCTCTAATCCTCGCTCTGGAATTGTCTGGTTAAAAGGGCAATGTCCAGAGAAACACCGAGCTGCCTCCTCTGTCCCATGGGCTTACCGACTGAGAGAGAGCAAAGGGGAAAGAGCCCACCTGATGAGAGACTCAAGGATGGCTGGCGTGGGTCCCTTCTGAAATTCCAGCTCTTTGTAATGTAGCGCCTTGGCATAGGCTCGGCACTTGGCAGCCCGTTCTCCCAGTAAGACGATGCCGTTGTCGTCTCCCAACGGCAGCGGGCCCTGGGAGGAGGAAGCCGGACAAAGCGTCAGGACTGTGATGGGAGTGCAAACCCCCAAGGCCATGTAGAGCAAGGGTCCCCGGCCTTGACTGGGCCGCAGGAGTCGCTGGCCAACGCACACACACACGCGGGCATGCACAGCCCCGCTCCCGAGTCGTCGCAAGCATCGTGGGCACTCACTGCCCCACCTGCACGAGCCATGATCGTTCATGCGTGCATGCGCACTCGCGTGGGCCTTCCCCCTCCCACGAAACCATCCCCTCTCTTCCCCGACCTCCAGCCGCCAACTCTCTGATCTAGGGAATTTCATGCAAGCTATTAAATGGAAGCTTATTCGTGAGCTCTGGAGGCACAGTGGCCATTACCACTATTGGCGTATGGCATTGTTCATTACCCACGAGACCACAATGCTACCGCGGAGTTGTACTGTTGTGGCCTGTCGGCTGCTGGCCCCTCCAGCAGCCGAATCAGAGGAAGAGGTGGTGGCGTGGGAGTCAGGGTCAGCACCAGGGCAACCTGGGAGCTCCGAGGGAATGGAGCTGGCAGAGAGAGGGACAGGTGCAGAGCCTAGGCCGTCCGTCGGCCCTCAGAGGGAGAATCAACAGCCCCCAGGTCTGGAGGTGGCTGATGAGGAGGAGGAGGAACAGCCAGGTCCAGTGCCTGACTGCGGATGCACAGAAGGCAGTGGAGAGGAGAGGAGAGCAGTGGAAGTCTATGAGCCGGTCCTTGGGAAGGAATAGCTACCGCCACTAGCGAAGCCCCACCCTAGCTCTGGGGATAAAAAGGCAGGGGGCAGAGATGAATAAGTGTGGCAGACAAGTATTCATCTTCCGTCTGGACGGGCTTGTTAGCCTGCAAGAGAAACCTTTTTGCCGGGGCTGCCGGCGTTCCTAATAAAGGAATTTTGTAAATTCCTGTCAGAGGGTTTGTTGTGTTTGGGGAGCTGGGTCAGAACATGTACTTTGGCTTGCCAAGGTACCAATCCTGTTATAGGAAACGCTGGCGTGCTTCCCAAGGTGCACCGCAGGAGGGCTGGCTGTGCACCAGAGAGATAGACAAGTGGCTCTTCCTACGGTGTCACCTAAGGCTCCCTTTCCTTCCCGGAGCGGCCTTGCAAACAGGCACTGCAATCGGAAAGGTCCAGAGCTACCCCCGAATCTGACTGCCTGCACAAAGCATCAGCTCATCTCCCCCACCAAAGTGGTACCTAGATGTCTACGTGCACAGAACAGAGTTTCAAACGGTCAGGATAGACGCTGAGGCAAGTGACGGGAGCTCACCCTGCCATGCAGTGCTAGAGCTCGGACTGCTGACGCCGAGACCATCCCTCGTGTCATTAAGGCACTGAGCCACCGCGCCACTTGGCCCCGTGGTTAGAATGCAATATGGCAGCCTTACTCTGCCCACGGCCCACAGTTCAATCCCGAGCAGCTCAAAGTTTGACTCAGCCATCCATCCTTCCGAGGTTGGTAAAACCAGGAGCCAGATTGTTGGGGGGTAAGAGGATGACTCTGTAAAATGCTTAGAGAGGGCTGTGAAGCACCACGAAGCAGTTTGTAAGTCTAAGCACTATTGCGATTTCTGCAATTATCAGCAAAGTCGCCGGTCTCTTTGTGAGATCAGAGCAAAGAGTTGTTAAAAAAGAAAAGGAAAACGAGAAAAAGCTTCCACCCCAAGGTGCTCTACCTTGTCGCTGTGCTCCATGAACTCCGCCAAATTGAGCAGGGTCTGGGTGACCTCAGCGATATCCTGAGACGTCAGCGCCAGCTCGATGCTGCGGATCAGCTCGTCCTGCTGGTCTTCGTTCAGCTCAGACCAGCATGAAACAAAGGCCGCGTTAAACAGATCTCTGGGGTAGTGGAAGCAGAAAGAGGAGGTGGGAAAATGGAGCAATAAGCCAACATTGAACGTACCACTTCAGTGATCCATACTGAACCCAGACCCACATCTCATGACAGCCCATAACTGCACAGGGGAGAATTTTTAACAGAGACAACTGTCAGACCTGGGAACTGACCAGCAACTAGAAAACCTTCCTTCCCAAACTACCCCTTAATATTCCTTCAGCAAACCATTTTTTTTCTATCCAATTTGCCATCCTCGGCGAACGTTTTACTGATGTACGTCACCTAGTCCGTCTAGCTTTCAAGCAATGATGCGCCACTCACTATCCTTCAGTCCGTTTACCCCATCAAGCACAAGTCTTGGATATGTTAATCTTCAAATGCACAGCATGCAGTCGATTTAACCTTTGCTGCAAAACATTCAGATGCTCAATCAAACACCCAGGACCATCGGCCTCCGAAAGTTCACACACCCAATGTCTACGGAGATTCTCAGTCACCCAAGTCAGGGTTGTCCCAAAGGTGCTTTTATTCCAAGAGACAACTGGACTTTCTTGGTCTCATCCAGGTCTAGTTTTAGTTTCCAAACTTTGCAGATGAAGTCCTGTGAATTGTTGATGGGGTGGGTGGCGTTGCCAGCGAGAAGAGCTAACCAAGTGGTGAGAGGTTTCGCAACGCTGTAGGTGAACAGAGTTGACGCGGCTGACAATTGGTCTGAGTGAAGTTCCTTCTTTATGGATTTTGGGGAGCCCACAAGAAAAGTCCAGTTGACTCTTGCAAAAGCATCTTTCAAATCACAAACCAAAACGCTCAACTATCACACACAGAGTTAAACTTTTTTTTTTTTAACACTTGCATTAAACAACCAAGGGAAGACTTTTTCTTCTTCTCCCTGGATTGATGTTGGATTTCTACCTGGCCATGGGGTTGTAGGCCTGAGCCAAGGCCCAGCATGAGCGCAGCGAGGGTGATGAGGAGTCTTTCAACAGCTCCAGGCTCAGCCGCCTCAACCACTCCAACCAATCATCCTTGGAAACTCTGCGAGCTGCTCCCCAGGCCTAGAATACCAAGCACAATTTGAGTCGCTGACAGCATGGGGACCACGGGGCCCTAACTCCACTTCTGCAGCCCTGAAACACCCGCTCCCCAATCACGTGGCTGAATCTTCTGCCATTTAATGGGCTGCTTTGTGAAGGCAAGAAGAGTTGGAAGATGGTGACACAACTGTAGGTATGGATGGGGTTCTCAAGCTCGGCCACTTTGAAGGCGTACGGACTTCAAATTCCCAGAATTCCCCAGCCAGCTCTCAGTCCCATCCAGCCAAGCGTTCTGGTTCTCATATTGAATAACTAGATGAATTTCAATTTTGCAAGCTTCACTCTCATTTGATGCCGCTTCCCAACCATTTGAGGTTTTAATGCTACCTGAGGTTTAAAAGAATATCGTAACTTTCTACACTTATTAGTCCCTATCAATGGCCCGATCCTTCATGAATCTGTCTGCACAGGGACAGATTCCTCCAGTTGTCTAGAAGCTTTATTTTTTTAAGTTCTCTGAATGTGGGGGAAACCTGTCTGACAAATACTGCCTCTGTTTTGAAAGGGACATGAAGTTTGCTAGATCAGGGGTGTCAAACTCAAGGCCCACAGGTTAGATCTGGCCCATGGGGCCACCATGGAAACAGCGAAAGACCGTTCCGCACTGCCTCTGCCAGCAAAAACTGAGTCCGGGAGGGCTGTGTGCACTCCCCCTTCCCCGGGGTCTCTTTTTCGGCCGTGATGACCTCCTGCAGCCCTCTGGTAGCCAAAACGATCTCCGTTTTGGCTGGCAGAGGGCTGCAGGAGGCCATGGTAGCCGAAAACAGGGCCTGGGGGAGCGCACGCAGCCCCCCCCCCCCCCATTCCCTCTTCCCTGGCAGAGTACAAGCAAAACAAACTAAAAACAAAACAAAATGAGAAATATTTCCCCTTTTGCATTTGAGCATGCAAGAAGGGACCGAAAGGGAGAAAGAGGAAAGGCAAAGAAAAAGAAGGAAAGATGGGAAGCGAACAAGGAAGGAAATAAAGAGGGGAAGGAAGAAGAAAGGAGAATGAAGAGGAAAGGAAAAAGAAGAAAAGGAAGGAAGGAAGGAAGGAAGGAAGGAAGGAAGGAAGGAAGGAAGGAAGGAAGGAAGGAAGGAAGGCAGGCAGGCAGCGAGGAAGGGTCGGAAGGAAGTCCTGCCTTAGCACTTGGCCACCAAAGGTGCCCCCGACAGGAGTGACGACAAGCTGGCCATGCTCACCCTGTGCCCCCAAGGTCAAGGACAACCCTGATGCGGCCCTCAATGAAATAGGGTTTGACACCCTTGTGCTAGATCACCGCAAACTGGTCCTGGGCAATTTTGATGCCACAAAAAGCATCAGAAACTCTGTTGCTGAAATGGCTGGTTTACCTTCTGTAAGTTGATGGTGCTGACGTGCAGCTTCTTCATGGGCCCCGTTTCGACCGGGCCGCTGGCGAGGGCCTCTCCTTGGCTGCTCCTCTGCATGCGGTGCTGGTATATCAGGGGGTCGTCTTCTTCATCGGCAAGAGTGTAGCCCTAACGCAGAGCAGAGCAGAGCAATTCATCAAAACCAAACCTCGCTTTATAGTTGGGTTTGCACTGCTGTGGTTTGTACTCGTGGCCGAACGGAAGTGTCCAGGATGAAACATCGGCATCTACGGGTCTCATCGTTTCAACTTGTCATGAGAGGAAGGACCGGGGGGGAGGGGGGGGGGGGGGGAGAAAGGCATTTGTTATGGGAGGGTTAACCAGAGAAAACGAAACTTCTGCAGCTCCACTGAAGTTTGTGAGAATCTGGAAACTTTCAAGGACGATTTGGCAGGTGTGCAAGTGAGAGACATGGTCCCCATAAAAATGGGAACTTTACTTGGTCTATGTGGAAACCTGGGAGGTCGGGCTGGGGAAATCCTTGATTCATATGTACCTTCATAAACCAGTGAATAAAATGGCTTCTTGAGGAGTCTCACTGACCTTCACAATCCTGCAGATGAGGACGTCGTATCGTTGGTGGTTTATCCTGTGACGCACCAATACTTTGTTCACCATCGGGATAAAGATCTGATACTGCAGGGGCGAGAAGAAGAGTTAGGCCCCAGGAAGGCTTCCTTTTCGTTGGCAAGGATAATGACAGTGAGAAGAGAATAGCAGCAGCTCAGAACCAACGCCAAGGAGTGTAATTTTTAAAAACTGGATCTGCACGGGGGTGCAGTCCTGAGATGTGTCACGTACGATATGCTCTTTCAGAAACAGCTTGAGGAAAATCATTAAAAAAATTTTAAAAAATAGATGGTTACATTTAATGGAATTTGTCTATCAGCTGTGGAATATTTTACAGCGCCTTGTTATTGTGTTAGTTTTGGGGCCCACGCAATCTTCTAAATTTTCAAGCGCCACTGATCCATTTAAAGAGGTCGTTTCATGTTTTGCAATTAAAAAAAACCCTAGAGGATATAGCCAACATTTCTTTTAAACCTATACCATCTAATGTCTCGTTAAAAGTTCAAACTTACAGTGTCACTTCCCCAGCCACCTAAGGAACAATTTACAGAATACTGAATAACAGAGTTGGGAGGGACCTTGGAGGTCTTCTAGTCCATCCCTCTGCTCAGGCAGGAAACCCTACACCGTTCCAGACAAACGGTTGCCCAATCTCTTCTTAAAAACTTTACTTAAAAATGTACCCCATTCCACCAACCGTTCTTTTATGTTTTAAAGGAAAGGATTTAAATTCGGCGGAGTCAGGATCTCTCCCCTTGGAAAAAAATAATCCCCATTTTACCTTTTTCCCCAGCTGGAAGACGAGGGAGGAGAGCGTGTCCATGGCCGTTGTGCGAAGCTCTGGGCTCTGGTCGAGAGTTCGCACGATGGGATGGATAATCCGCGAAGCGTAATCCGTGAAATCAAGGGACTCGGTTAATCGGTCCACAGTTTCCAAGGCAGCTCTGGAAGGAGAGAGAACGCAAAGCAATTGCAAACACACACTGGACACAGATAAACCCAAAAGAAGGACAAGTGTGTGGGTGTCTTTTTGAGAAAAGTTTTAAGTATTTGGAAGGACTGGCCGCGTCTTTTATTAAAAGCCTGTAAAACAGGGATGATGCCATGGGGACAACCTCCATTCTTACTTGCGAGCAGACAGGGGGGCGTCAGGTGCATCAAAAAGCTTCACAATGGGAGGCAGTAATAAGTGCAGGTAATCGTCCAGGTTGGCTCCAAACAACTGGATGGCATTCAGCAGCTGGAAAGGACGGAAAGCAAACTCAATAGGAATCAAGGGCAAGATTCGAAACAGACATACATATATTATTTATACATTTTTCTTTAATATACATAAGTGCTTAGTAAACGGTGTATGTTATCTGGGTCAATGTACTTATACATAATCGTAATTTCCAATTTCTACCTCTATTATCTAACCATAGGTAAAACACACCCTACGTTCAAAAGTATTCTGTATCTTTTTTTATCCTTTATCTTTAACGTCAACCTATCCATTTCTGCACAATATAGCATTTTTTAAAAATTATATTCTCTTCTGTAGGTGTTTCCTCATCCAGTGTTGTGCAAATACGCACAATACAATTCTCACTGCTGTCAAGACACGTGGTATTAAATATATGTCCCCTTCATATTTGTCAAAAATATTTCGGGCTTTAAATCTGTTTGTTGCTTTAACATCTTCTCTAAACGTGTGTGTATTTTCATCCAAAATTTTCTTTTCAACATGTCCACCACATATGGTAGTAAGAGACCAGCGTCTGATTGCATTTCCAACATTTGGTGGACATGTTTTTAAACATCTTTGCTAGCCTTGCCAGTGGCAAATACCACCTGTAAAACATCTAAGTATAGTATATAAAATCATACATTGCAATGTCCTACCTGTCAATGAATACTTCAGCTTCAACCATAACAACACAAGAGCAAACAATAGATACAAACTCAAGGTTAATCGCACCAAACTTGATTGCAGGAAATACGACTTCAGCAACAGAGCGGTCAATGTCTGGAATACTCTACCTGACTCTGTGGTTTCTTCCCCAAACCCCAAAAACTTTAACCTCAGACTGTCTACTATTGACCTCACCCCTTTCCTAAGAGGCCTGTAGGGGGCGTGCATAAGCGCAACAATATGCCTACCGTCCCTGTCCTATTGTTTCTTTTGTTTTTCTTATATGTATCCATGTATTCATAACTATGTTTTTACTTTATACCTATTATCTTGTAAGCAATTGACAAACCAAATAAAATAAAAATAAATAAATTTTATACAGGTTTCCTGGTATCTTCTAATCATAATTTATTTGAGTGATTCTTAAAGCAGTTGGGACAGGCACTTCCATGTTTCTATCAGAACTGAAACAAATGATGTTAGGTCTTCCTGGGAACGAAAATCATATATCCAAGATGATTAACTTGTCCCGGCCTGCAGCAGGCCAGGATTCTGAGGGCTGATTGTAGTTTGAATCAGACCAGGATGTGGGAAGCAACCACCTGTGTCCCCCGGCTCACCTTGGTGGAAACGCTGCGGGTGCTGCTGCTGTCGTGCATGAAGACACGAAGCATGTGCGGGATGAGCTGGGGAAGGTAGAGCTTGAACTCCCCACCGAGGGCCACCACTATCTGCTCGATGAGGAGGATAATCGTGCTCTGGATGGAGTTATTTACCACCCAGAAATCCTGGAGAAGGGGGAAAAGGGAGCAACATTAGGACAGAAAGCCAGAAAGCATGAAAAAGAACGGATTCTTATTACAGTCCTACAGGGTTAAAATGGTTCGAAGGTTAAATTCCACCATCAGAAGCTCCAATTCCATCTCGGAAAGATGGAAATTCGCTTTATGTTCAAAATCTTACGGTGGACCAAGCCAAATCTCTGCAGACATTTGAGACTGGATTTTATCCCCTTACAGTTTAGAATAAAAATATATATCTTTTACAGCAGCTTCTACTTTTTTTAAATAAAAAAACTCTTCTTTAAATGCTTTAAAATGCTTCCCTTTTCCTGCCTTTCCTGAACATCCTTCTTGAGTACGTTTTCCAGCAAGGCGGGTATGAATGTGTCAAAAAGCTGGAATGGCTATCCCAACAGAAAAGCCAGGGAAACATTGCAAAACAGCTGAACACATTTTGTTCTTGATTCCGCATTTATGATCAACGAACCCCAGCGTATGCATTGCGCCACTGGCCTTTTTCATTGGCCTTTCATAAGGACTAGCCTTCTCTTCCGTTGCTGCTCAGTGTCGAAGGAAATTCAGTCACACGTCACTTTTAAAACATGTCCTCCGAATTGGGATTTCCTTGCCAAATGTCCAAGGGTGGTACTCACCCTCATGAGGGTAACGATTTCATCCATGTAAGGTCGAATGTGGCTTCTCACAAAGGACACCAGCATTCCCAGCTGCTGGAAGAGGAACTAGAAAGGGGAGAAAGAGCAAAACGGCCAGGTGCGCTTTGAGGGGCTTTCAATCCTCACCCCGCCTCCCCTTTCACGTATTTGTTTGCTTCTGTGTCATGCTGTCTCCTCAAGTACGCAGTTAATGTCAGCGGCTCACAACCATGGCTTGGCCAACACTGCTGGGTGCGTTTAGGCAAGCGCAGAAGTTTCAGGCATGCAAATAGTTATAAACACCAGAAACGAAGTTTCCCAGCTCTGCTTTCCAAGCCTGTCCCTGCCCTTTCTCAGCTCCTCCAAACGCACACAACTTTTCCCTGACACCCCTAAACTGTCCCCTCTCTGCATGTCCAGCACCCTCCTTGGGAAAAAGAGACAGCAGGAAACCGAGGCGGCTTGCAGAAAGAGAAGGCGGTTAAGTTTCAGGCTGAGAATCCAATGATCAAGAGAGATTTTATGGGGCTGGTGCAAATCAGGATCCACTTGATTATCCACCTTTATCCAATGCAAAAGAGAGCAGAGAGCAGAGAGAGAGAGAGAAAAGGACCAGTTGGGGGGGAATTTGTGAGAGAGTGCTGTGAAAAAGAAGTAGCAAAAAGCGCATCTTTGATTAGGAATTTGAGAAGCTTTGTAGCTAACTCAGGAAGTGCCTTTGGGGGGCACTTAAATGCCAAGCGTACCCACCTCGGCTCTTCTCCCCAGCACACTATCACCATCTTCTTTTACCTGCAAATTTTTAAAGACAGGAGGCAAAGGGCATCAAAGGCAGGCCAGGTCCGGTCACGCAACCAGGGCCGGGTTACCACAAACAGGGGCTTCCATTCAGTGGTTCCATACGGGGAGAAGGTGGGTCTACAAAAGTCCCTTTAGAATGGCTCCCACCCAAAGCACTGTAGGGATTTCCATGGTTCCCAACTATGACATTATTCAGGACTCCAGTAGATGTTGAAGCTGAGTCCAGACGGATTCTGCTTGGACTTCCTTCCTTCCTCCCTCCCTCCCTCCTTCTCCTCTTCCCTTCCTCCTTTCCTCTCTATTGCCTTCCTTTCTCCCTCTTCCTTTCTTATCTCCTTCCCTCCCTCTTCCTTCTGTCTCCTCTTCCCTCCCTTCCCCTTGTCTCTTTCCTCCCTCCCTCTCTCCTTCCCTCTCCCTTCTCTTCCATCCCTCCTTCCTTTTTTTCTGTCTTTCTTTCCCTGGACTGCATCCTGTCTCTTGCAGTCACAGTCAAAGTTTGATCCAAGAGATAAACCGAGACATGGGTTTATCAGTATCAGCCTTGTGGCTGGCCAGGAACGAGGTGTTCTCTCTCTTTGCCCCACAGCTCTCCACCTGCAGTTACAACCACGTCACTGTCGAACAGTGTTTCTCCACCTGGGCTGTTTTGAAGATGTGTGGACATCAAACTGCCAGGGGATTCTGGGAGTTGAGGTCCATACCCTTTCAAACAACCAAAGATGAGAAGCGATGTAGACCTTTGCAGGGGATGATGGCTTCTTGAAGAGTTGCATCAAGGTCTCGTTGACTGTGGCCTGGGGCAACACAGAATGCGTGGACCTCAGGCAAAATAAAGGCTAGCAGATGAGCAACGGTGGCCAAGGAGCTGGGAGAACTTAGCCAGTAGGGACGGGCCACATTCTCCCCTTCTGAAGAGGACAACGCAAAACGTGTGAGTGGTTACAGAGACTTGAGAACAACAACTGGGCCAAAGCACACCAAGAACAGCAGGACTAAGCTAAAAAAAGGCTCCATTTCTCTGGGCAGGAGAATGATTCCACCTGGGAGTATTTGCCATGAAAAAGGAAGTCCCAGGGCAGCCAGGTTTAGCTTGAAGGAGAGAAGAATGGTTGGCATCGTGTCACGTTCCAAGAGGAACAACCAAAAAAAAACCCCAGGGAATGGAAATGATCATTCGCTTCTTTAGCCCACTGGCAGCACAGATAACTCGGCCGGCCTCTGCCCCCCTCCCTTCTCAAAAGAGCCATGTTTCCATTATTTTTCCCCTCTTTGAAGCGATTTCTGCTTCCTGGGGGCGCACTCACCTCCCTGATGGCCCCATCGCAAACCCGAATGACGCTGAGGAAAGTGGGCATCACTTGAGGCAGGAACTGCACGCACTTGAGGCCAAGGGACTTGAAAATAAAGGTGATGGCTTGGACCACCATGGTGTGGTGGTGGGACAAGGACTGGTCCCGGAAGATCCTCATGAGGGCCACCATGGAGACGGCGGGGTAGAACTCGTCCAGCGGGAGGTTCCCCATGTTAACCAGCATCTCGCTGGTGCTGTAGTCAGCTGGAAAGGAGCAGAGTCTCCATTCAATGTCTGCAGAACGCAACAGGCGACCAACATCCAAAGCAAGCTGAGACTAGACTGTTTGCAATGACTTTATGGATCTGAGATGGAAGAACCTTAAGGAGGAGGGAGCTGGTCTTCAAATGCACTGGGTGCCCTGAATGGGTCTTGGTTTTTAATTTTGATTCCGATCATCCCATTTAAAAATAAAAATGGCTTTGTTTTGAAACATCCAAGGCCACATGAAGAGCCGGTGGTTAGAATGGAGTATTGCAGGCTAATTCTGCCCAATGCAAGGAGTTCGGTCCTGACCAGTTCAAGGTTGAACTCAGCCTTCCATCCTTCCGAGGTGGGTAAAATGAGGACCCAGATTGTTGAGGGGCAAAGAGGCTGACTCTGTAAACCGCTTAGAGAGGGCTGTAAGGCACTGTGAAGCGGTATATAAGTGCTGTTGCTATTTTCCTTCCTTCCCTCCCTCCCTGTGGTTAGAATAGGGTATTGCAGGCAAACTCTGCCCACTGCCAGCAGTTCGATCCTGATCGGCTCAAGGTCGACTCAGCCTCCCATCCTTCCAAGGTGGGTAAAATGAGGACCCAGATTGTTGGGGGCAAAGAGGCTGACTCTGTAAACCGCTTAGAGAGGGCTGTGAAGCACTGTAAAGCGGTATATAAGTCTAAGGGCTATTGCGATTACCATCCAAGCTCAAGTGAGCTAATTTCTGATTTTTTTAAAAGTGAACTACTAAATAACAAGACTGCTTTTTTCTTTTTGGACAGAGGTTGACTCAGAACGTTTGTTCCTCAGTTCACTTACAAGAATCTTGGCTGGATTTAGACTCCGAGAGGCTCACCGCCGAAGCATCCCTGGACTGGTCTATCATACCAATGTTCACCTTGTGTTTATATGGATCCAGAGCTCCCAGGAGGCCAAGGACGCGAATAGCCTGACAGTGAAAATGGAAGAGGGGAGGGGGGAAAACACACACACACACACAAGGTGAAGGCCCAAATTTCACAATTGGGTTTCCCGGGGCACAATTTCTCCCGATAAAAGGATCATGTGGCCCTTCTTTTCTTGCAGGCGTGAAAAGATGGGATGAAGCGAAAGCACGTTCATTTTCATCTGACGCATTTGAGAAAACTTTCCAAAAGCCCGTCCTCCTCCCTTCTCAGGCCTGCCGAGCCGAGAGACCGAAGAGGCCTACCTCTCTTCGAGTACCCTGGTTCTGCTCCGTTTTCAAGAAGTTCAGCAGCACCTCGAGGAGAGTTGGGTACTTCCTATAGGGTTCCACCACGTAGCCAGTGCTGGCTACCAGCTGCCCCAGGGTCCATAAAGCCACCTGGGAAAGATCCACCACAGGAGAAGACAGAAATTACAGCCCCGTCTAAATAGTTTGCCAAGTGTTTCGCTGCATTGACTAAAGGGCCGGGAGAGAAGTAAACAGCTTGTCAGCTTCTATCGCAGGCACCAATTTTATTTCTTCTTTTTTTAAAAAAAAAAAGCAAACAACACGTAAACAGAAACCATTTAAGAACTTTCAGAACAGGTAAGTAGAAATATTGCCCATTTCAAGAGGGAAACAATATGGCTGAAACATAGGAAGAACGGTTGCAGGAATTGGGTATGTCTAATCGGATGAAAAGAAGGACCAGGGGTGATGTGATCGCAGTCTCCCAATATCTCAGGGGCTGTCCTGAAGAAGAGGGAGTCAAGCTATTCTCCAAAGCACCTGAGAAGGCAGGAGAAGAAGCAACGTGTGGAAACTAATCAAGGACAGAAGCAACTTAGAACTACGGAGACATTTCCTGACAGGGAGAAGAATTAACCTGTGGAATGACTTGTCTCAAGAAATTGTGGGTGCTCCGTCAGGTTTCTGACAGGAGATTGGATAATCATCTGTCTGAAATGGTATAGGTCTTCTGCTTGACCAGGGAGGTGGGCTAGAAGACCTCCAAGGTCCCTTCCAACTCTGTTATTCAGCCCAAGGGGAGAGAATCGGCCTTGGACGGCCCATCACAAGGGGGCTCATAAGCAGAGGGCAGCATCCTTGACATCAAAAGTGTGTGGGGGGAGGGCAATTTCTCAGGCCCAAGGAGGTGGACCAGGCCATCACCTCTGCAGGCCACTCACCTGTCTTTTGGCGAGCAAGGAGGAGTCCTGGAGCATGTCCATGATGATGATGAAAAGCTCATCCACCCACTTTCGCATCTCCAGCCCACTCACCTATTTGGGGGGGAATCCAGATGTGAAAAACAGGAACGCAAAAGGGCAGAATAATGATGAACGATGCTGCGGTGGGAAGGAAGGGACTCACTGCTTTCAGCGGCTGCTGAAGAAGGACTGGCATAACTTACCTGGGCCAGTTCACCAATGGTGGCCAAGACATTATTGATCACACCGGGGTTTGGATCAGGATCTGGGTCTTTCAGTTTCACGATCAATGCCTGTCCAATGGCACAGAGAACAAAAGCAAAAGGGATAAGAAACAAAGGATCTCATAAAATACAGGTGGTCCTTCAGACTTAAGACCCCCAATGGAGCCCCAAAAGTTCTGTTGTTAAGGGTGTTAAAGCGAGTTTTGCCCCAGTTTACATCCTTTCTTGCCTCCGTTGTTAAATGAATCATTGCAGGGATAAGTTAGCGACCTGGTTTGTTAAGTGAATCTGGCTTCCCCATTGACTGGGCTCATCGGAGGGTCGCCAAAGGGGATGACATGACCTCGGGACACTGTGACCGTCCTAAATATGTTGACAGTTGCCAAGCACCTGAATTTTGATCATGTGACCGTGAGGATGGTGCAAATGGTCGTAATGGCAAAAAATGATCATAAATCACGTTTTTCAGTGGCGTTGGTAACTTTGGACAGTCACGAAATGAAATGTTGTAAGTCGAGGGTTACCTATACCCATTTCTTTCCCATCCTATTGAGGAAAGGACATTTTAAGCTCTCTCCTCAGGAGGAGAGAGATGGATGCAACCATTAAATCCATCTTTTTTTTCAACATAGTGGCTGGAGGAAGAGACCACCTGGAGGCGTTTGACTCTGGAGGACAAAGGGAAGGACCTTGGCAGCCACGAAGGGGATTCAAAAAGTCGCCCCCATACACCACGGCCGCCTTACCTTGAGGATGGGTTCCATATAGGGGCGAATGAGCCGGGGGGCATTGGAGACCAAGTGGCCCAACATCCTGGCACTCTGCTCTTTGATTCTGCCCACGCCACTGTGCTCCAGCTCGGTCAGTATCTGGAAGGGAGAAGGAGATGGTTCAGGGTTAAGACCAAGAGAAAGGAGGAAAGAATTCCAGCTGAGAAGCAAAAAACTGATTTGTGTGAATGTGATGTCCTTATTCTTCAAAGGGCCAAAAAATGCTCCTCTGAATTTTCTCTACCTGTTACTTATCACTACTGGTGTACCCACATTAGCGGTGGCCTTTAGACTTATCGATCGCTTCAGTGCTTTACAACCCCGTTTAAGCGGTTTACAAAGTCAGCCTATCACCCCCAACAATCTGGGTCCTCATTTTACCAACCTCGGAAGGACGGAAGGCTGAGTCAATCTCGAGCCAGTCAGGATCGAACAGCCTAATGACTCTAATGATTAGAGTCTACTAATAATCCATCGTTAGTGAATACTAATGAAAATAACTCAGCATTGCCTCCCATTTTCTATAATTTCTGCTTTGGGTCAGAAAGTATCTCCAAGGGAGATGGGCAGTTAAGAAATATGAAATAAATGAAAATGGGGAGAATTTCTGAAAACCCATGACTGTATGTATAACAACGGAGCTGATTGTCAGGGTCTATTCATGAACTGGAATAGAGTTTGGTAACAAGGTCAGCCAATGAATAGGCATAGCAACTAAGTCAGCCAATGAGGACTGTTTGGAAACTGAAACTAGAAGTAGCCTAGGCGTGGCTCTATATTAAGCTCTGCAACCCTGCAGCTATGTTGAGCTCTGAGTCCGTCTATTGAAGATGAAACTAACTTGTTTGCTCTGCTCTGAACTTGCAACATGTTTCTGTTTTGAGTTTGCTCCACGTTGGAGAAATCTACAACTGGTTTGTAAAATCTAGTTATGTTTATAAAGATGTTAAAAAAAGCATCAGCCATCTGTGTTTTTTTTTTTTCCTGGCGCTGAATTATCACTGCAAAACTCTCATTACTAGGGATGGGATCCGACCGGTATAACTACTGGTTCTGTTGCTCTGCGTCGTGCGCGCGAGTCGCGTGAGTGCAATTTACGACCCGCTGAGCTGCCCGGACAGCTGAGCAGCGCTGTGTGCAAGTGCGCAGCGGTTGAAAAAAAGGACTTTTTTCCTGCTTTTTTTCAACCGCAGCTGTGTCACACAAAGCAGCTGCGGTTGAAAACGCAGGAAATAAAGATCAGGTAATAGCCCGGGCGGGCGGGCGGGCCAAAACAGCAGTAGACATAGAAACCGGTTCTATGTAAGCTCTCTGCTTCCTGCTTTTCTACAGAATTGGACAGAACCGGTAGAATCCCACCCCTGATCAATGCTGATGGCCTGTTTACAAAGACAAAAAAAATAAAAACCAAAACGATCCCTTTCACCTCTGAGCTACAACGAAGTGACCTTTGGGGGCACTGCCAGGGCAGAGAGAGGGTTTGGCTCGATACCTCCTCCCACACCGTTACCTGAATTAGCATTTTCCGGAGGAATGGCATGACGAAAGCCGGGTTCATGCTGCTCAGCCGGCCCACGGTGCAGATGGCCAGCTCGCGGATTTCAAACACCTGGTCGTTCAGAGCAACGAAAAGCGCCTGCAAGTTCTCTGCCTGGGCCAGGTGGGCATCGAAGCGCTCGTCCAAGGACGCCAGGACGCAGTAGCGTATGTCGGGGTCTGGAGAGGGCAGAGTCGTACAGCAGATGGTTGGGGGGGGGGGGGAAGGACAGCGCAAGCAGGGAACCAGAGGATCAAGTCCGCTGAACCTGGGCTTGATCCAGCGCCGTCGGCATGGACTCTACAGGTAGTCCTCAACTTACGGCCACAATGGAGCCACAATGGAGCCACAATATTTCTGTGGCTAAGCAAAGACAAGAGTTTTGCCCCGTTTTTACGATCTTCCTTGCCACGGTTGTTAAGTGGATTGCTGCAGTTGTTAAATTAGGTTGCACCGTTGTTAAGTGAATCTGGCTTCCCCGCTGTCGGAAAGTCGCAAATCTGGTCACATGACCCCGGGACATCGCAACCATCATAAAATACGAGTCAGTTGTCAAGCGGTTGAATTTTGATCATGTGACCAATGGGGTAGCAACAGCACTGAGATTTATATACCGCTTCACAGTGCTTTCCAGCCCTCTCTAAGTGGTTTATAGAGTCAGCCTCTTGACCCCAACACTCTGGGTCCTCATTGGACCCACCTCGGAAGGACGGAAGGCTGAGTCGACCTTCCATCCGGTGAGATTCAAATTGCCAAATTGCAGGCAGCCGGCTGTCGGCAGAAGTAACCTGCAGTACTGCACTCTCACCACTGCGCCACCACGGCTCATGGGATGCTGTAAGCATGACCCTAAGTCGCTTTTTCAGTGCTGTGGTCACTAAGCTAACAGGTGTTAAGTTGAGGACTACCTATATCAGATGATCTTCAGGAAGCTGGAGGTATTTCTCACCATCATCTGCCAAGTTATTTCCATTGCAGGTGGCAAGAAATAAAGTTTGGACCCCCTGTTATGTAAATTCTCCTACGAAAGGTATCCCCTTCCCCAGGAAGACACCACCGAGCGGTCACACCCAGAAGCACCCTCTTCCCTAACTCCTGAGACTTACCGGGGTCTGTGATCCCAACCACCAAGAGTTTGCTGAGGACGTCAGCCACCACCTGGACGGCGGTCTGGCTGACCACATGGGCATGGCCGCTGATCAGGTGAATGGAAGGCGTGAGTAAGCGGGAACAGGTCCGGGCCGCTTCCATGCGCACTTCCTTGTGCTCGCTGTTGAGGAAGTGATCCGCACAGTGCCGGACGAACTGAGTCAATGAATGCCCTAACAAAAGGGGGGACAGACAGAAACAGGAGGGTTTGGCCAGATCTCTTACCCAGGTTGGATTCCCGCTTGCCTCCTCCTCTCCTGCGTGCTCACCTTCAAACTCGAAGCTGCCCAGGGTGCGCAGGGCGAGAGTGATGCTGGCCACGTCGTTGGCCTCGGGAATGTTGGTGAGGCTGGGAGAAGCCAGCTGGTGGGCGAGCCCTTTCGGCATGCCCGGGTGACGCAGCGGGCGATGCATTAGCACAAGGGAGAGCATCTTCAGCAACCCATCCTGGATCTCTTTCTTCAGCTGTGGGATCTGGCGACTCAGGTCGTACAAGACAGCTGTCAGGGCAGGGCTGAGGACAAGATAGAGAGGCCCATGGGTAAACTGTTAGTTGGGGCTTGCCAGACCCTTGCCTAGACATTATATTATTGTTGTATTACATGTATTACTGTTGTATTATATTAACAATAACATGTATTATTGTTGTATTACATGTATTACTGTTTCAGGTGGGAAGGCTGTACACAGAGTGGTGAGGATGGCTGAAAAGGTATTGGATGTTCATTTCCTTCTATTCAGATCATGGCATATAAGCGATGCTTGACCAAGATTCACAGTATTGTCATGGACACTACACAACTTCTCCATGATTGGTTTTCCTTGTCAAGGTCTGGAAGGATCCGAAGCAGAACATCCAGTTTTTATAATAGCTTCGTACCTTCAAGTATCAACCTAGTTAACTCTCAAGACTCTTTTTTCGCTATGTGTTCAAAATGGACAGCGTGTGTGCATTTTATATATATATATATAGTAATAGCACTTAGACCTCTATACCGCTTTCACAGTGCTTCACAGCCCTCTCTAAACGTTTCACATAGTCAGCCTATTGCCCCCAACCATCTGGGTCCTCATTTTACCCACCTCGGAAGGATGGAAGGTTGAGTCAACTTTGAGCCGGCTAGGATCGAACTACTGAACTGCTGGCAATCGGCAGTCAGCAGAATTAGCCTGCAGTACTGCATTTTAACCACTGTGCTCCTATACGTGTGTGTGTGTGCATGCATGTGTATATGCGGGCATCAGAATTTCATTTTTAACGCATGCCAGCGCATTCACAGAAAAAAAGTGACAATAAAGATCATCGTATATTTCAGCAGGAGAGTATATGCAGCGGATTTTGGTCCAAGGCTTGTGAAGAAACCCAATGCTCAGGCAAGAAAGTGCTTCGAATCTCAAGTGCTTTCTAGGCACTAAAGCAAACCCCCAAGAAAAAGGAAATTCAGCAGCTGCTCACATGTTTGTTACACAACTGAACATGAGGCTGTTTTCAACTTTCATGAAAGTATAACAACGCCTGGTGATTAAGAGAGAGAAATGCAGGCCCAAAGCAGAAGACAAGGAGGCTGCTGGAGTGAATGCAAGACCTACCTCAGCCCCACAGCCAGCATGGGCTCCAGAAGTTCTTTGATGTCTTGCTGAATAGAGGGACCCATTGCTCGTGCCACCATGCTGATGCAAGTGAAAACAGTGGCGTCCACCTGCACGGTTTTCTGTCTCCTAAGGAGGCAGGGATGACATTTCTTTAAGCAAGCCAAATCTTTCATACACAACGGCAACTTAGCCATATAGCCATTATCACCCCACCTGACAAGAAGTTTACAGGTGACAGAGGTGGAAAAAGTAGCTGTGACTGTGACCTCAACACCCAAAGGCCTGATGTGGGAAGTAGCTGTTTGGGGCAATGAGCTCTGGGATTAAAGCTCTTACGGAATCTCTTTTTGATGACTTTCAACTATGCCCAAAATGAGAGTGAACATTCATTTGTGTTAATTAACCATCAACGCTCAAGAGTTCGGAATTGTTTCAACTGTTAGAGGGCTGTCATTCCCACTAAAAATGGGATGCACAGCCCTGGATATCTCGCAATCATTGGAAACCCCCACTTACTTGTGGGTAAAGTCCTTCAACGGAAGGGCCCCCTTGATAATTTCAAGAACCTTGGGCAGGTAAACCTGGAACTCTGATCGCACAGCCACAGAGAGCAAACCCAGGGCTTGGAAAGCAGCCGTCCGCTCCTTTTCCTTCTTCACGCAGCTCAAGACGTGGCTCATGGTATCAGGAAGGTAGTGGTCAGCTGGTCACCCAACAGCAGTGGAGGAGAAAGAGTAAAAACCACACACTTTCATTAAGAAAACACAGGTTGTTAATTCAGAGGAATCAAACATGCTCCCCCCCCCCAAAAAAAAAAATGCAGAGTACCAACAAGGTAATCAAGGATGAACGGGACACAGTGCACATGTTTCCAAGAAGTCATTCCTCTAAGACTGTAAAAATCTGGAGGAGGAGGTATTTAATGGCTTCCCGAATTAAACTAGAAATACAAATAGCACTTAAGACTTATATGCCACTTCGCAGTGCTTCACAGCCCTAAGTGGTTTACAGAGTCAGTCTTTTGCCCCCAACAATCTGGGTCTTCATTTGGCCCACCTTGGAAGGATGAAAAGCTGAGTCAACCTTTGAGCCAGTGAAAATCAGACTAAGGGCTGTGGGCAGAATTAGCCTGCAGTACTGTATTCTAACCACCGTGCCATCACGGCTCTTGGGCGCTGGCACAGTGGACCCTCAAAATCTTTCAACTGCTTAGGGACCTGCCATTCAGTTGAATGTACTTCATTTCCCTCTATGCCAGGGGTTCCCAACCTGGGGTGCTCGCACCCCCTGGGGGTGCGAGACGATATTCCAGGGGGTGCGAGAAAAGTCCAGGTAAATAATAGGATATTGGCTATATGTTGGCATTTTTATTTATTATTTATTTCAGGGGGTGCGAGGTTCGAGTGAAATTTCTTTAGGGGTGCGGGGTGAAAAAAAGGTTGGGAACCACTGCTCTATGCTCTATGCCAGGGGTCTCCAACCTCGGCAACTTTAAGACCTGTGGACTTCAACTCCCAGAGCAGAGCTGGCTGAGGAATTCTGGGAGTTGAATTCCACAAGTCTTAAAGTTGCCAAGGTTGGAGACCCCTGCTCTACACAGAGGAAAAAAGACCAATCTGTAGTAGAGGCACATATTGTTCTATACTTCTATATATCCTCCACAGAAAAGAAACGACCAAGAAAGAAACACAATCTTTCTGGTGTCATTCCCAAGTACCAACTTCAAATCCCTCCTCTTTACCTGTGAAAGCGGAAGGGCGGAAAGCAGCTAGCCGGGGCAATAAGCTGAGGACAGTCATTTGAATCAAAGTATTTTTGCTGCTTCGGCACTTCAGGACCCAGTAGCACACCTGAAAAGTGAAAGAGGTTCCATTAATAGCTTGAGCAGCGCCCCCAAAACAACAAGGAAACCGCTTCAAATGTCAGCTGGGGACAGATAGGAAAGCTAGAAAGCAGGCAGGGAGACAAAGGAGAAGCTTTCTCAAGCATTTTCTCTTTTAAAATAACAAATGAAGCGTCTTTTTACCGAAGATACTAGAAAGATACCCAAGAGGATTGTTAAATCTGCAGTATTAGATAAATACAGTTCTGGTGTAATTCTTTTTATAAGGCAGAATTCTGCCATCGGTAACATCTCATCCAAATGCAAGAAGGCACTTTTGTTTGCTTTTTATGCCCCAGCAAGAGATAGTTCTCAGGACTTTCTGAATGCTCTTCAAAAGCACATTTGCAATTGGGAAAGGGAAGCAGAACGAAAACAGGGAGCGCCCCACCCAAGTTCACCTGGTCAAACTTCTCCTCCATCAGCTCTCGGCAGCATCGGCTTTCTACCAAGGTCGACTTGGCTGGGACCGGTAACGCCCCAAATCCCAGGATTCCTGAGTGGGGGCTGAAGCCCAGAAGTCCGATCAAGGCGTTGCACTGTTGGGGCTGTATCGACTGGAAGCTGGAGAAGGGGGTGACGTGACGGGGCTTAGTGCCGAAGCCCAAAAGATCCTTGCAGTATTTGTCATGCACCAACTGCTGCTGGGTGATTTCTTCCATCTCTTCCCTGAGACGCTAAATGGAAAGAAGAACAGAGGGTTAAAATTGCCCCCCCACTCCCGGGGTGGGATTCTACAGGTTCAAACATATTCGCTAGAACTGGCAGTTAACATTCTAAACAGTTCGGAGAACTGGTTGTTAGAAGAAATTACAGGGCTAATCCTGTAAGGAAGGCAGGAAGGAAACATTCTGGTGTTGCTTGCAGAAACTGCCTCTCCGTTAACCCTTATTACATTCTTGGCAGGACTAGACTTCCTGTCTCTGGAACGTCTCTGGAGTTTTTTCCCCCTCCTTTGCTGGTGCCTTTGCTTGTGTGGAGTGACCATTCAAAGTTACAACGGCACTGAAAAAAGGGACTTATGATCATTTTTCACACTTATGACTATTGCAGCATCCCCACAGTCACGAGAGGCCAGGAGAGGAGATGTGTGCCTCGATGCGAGTGATGTTGAGTTGGCCATGCCCAGCCAGTCACACTACCATCAAGCCATGCCCACCAACTAAGCCACACCCACAGAACCAGTTGTTAAAAACATTGAACCCCCCCCCCCCCCCAAAAAAAAAAAAAAAAGGAGCAGCAGGGCAGGCTGGTGCCTCAGGATTGGAAATAGAGAAGGGCAGCCTTGTGGAGTCAAAGCAACTGCTTATCACATCCACTTGTAGCCTTTAACGGCAGCAACCGTTCAATTGTTCCAATTCTGTTGGGTAAAATTTTATTTTAGCATATAGGAACAATGATGGTGTAGAAGCACACATATCTAATCACGTATCTTTCTGCAGCTCATGAGATTATGCTCTGAAAAACTCAGTCCAACTGGCCCCATTCATCAGGCTGTCCAATGACTATTTATTTCAAGGTTTTTTAATCCACGCTGAAGGACAGGAATGTCTTAAAGTAACATGTCCCCTCCCCCAACGGAGGGACTCACCTCTCCTTCCATGCTGCTAATCCGCACCAGTTCATTGAGGATCAGTAAGGCACCATGGATTCGGTCGTCCCGATTCACACCCTTTTCTTTCGCCACGGACTCATCAAAGCCCTTCTCAGCTTCCTCATAGGTTTGCTGAAACAACACAGACCATCGCTTAGAACTGAATATTAACCTCTCAAAATAGTTGTGCCTGATAGGATCTATGGCAATTTCACATATCTTGCCTCAAAATCAGATTCTAATCCTTCCCACAACTTCAACCGGCCTAATGGGTTTATGGCTTCGGAAAGGAAACCCCAAAAGCCCCCCCCCCCCCCCCCTCCTCGGTACCACTGCGGCTTCTGCATCTCTTTGGACTCGCGTTGAGTGGTCAAGATAAGACAAGCTCGTAAAGCCGAAACGGCTCCTTCCCGGATAGCCTGCTTTGGATCCCACACAGCGACAAAGATGTTGTCGAAAAATGGCTGGACTTGCTGGAAGAAGAACGTGGGAACACTGATGGCCAACTCTCGCAAAACCAAGACCTGGGTAAAGAAAACGAGACCCACCAAGAACAGCAGTTTTATACATCAGCATTACACACGATATACAAAAGCATTAACATTGAATCAAAAGGGTTGCTGGCACGTGTCTCTGAAAAAACATCCATTTGTGACTTCATGATGGACGTGGGAGGAATTAAAAGGAATAAAGTCAGTGTATTTCTCAGACATAAGCCCCCGGGGGCCAAAATATCATAGGCAGCTTGAATCATAGCTATTCTTACCGCTGCATGCCTCCGTCCTTCGTTCCTGTCGGCGCCAAGCCACTCCAGAGCCCGCTTCACTTCAAATTCCACGTATTCTGCCGTGAAGGTATCGCCGGCCATCGCAAGACGCCCAATGGCTTTGGAGGCCATCTCCATGACAACAGGGTCATTGGATGGAAGAAGGTTCCTTAGGTAGTTGGCGAACCTGCCAATGCGTGTAGCGTTGCCTCCCTCAACACCAATGAGGCTCGCTGTGGAAGAGAACACACCAGTGTCGGAGCTGCTAAAGGACCAATATGGGTAATTCACTGGATACAGGTACTCCTCGATTTATGGCCATAATTGAGCCCAGATTTTCTGTTGCTAAGCGAGAAATTTGCTAAGTGAGTTTTGTTCCGTTTTATGAGTTTCCTTGCCACGTTTGCTAAGTGAATCATGGCAGTTGTTAAATTAGTAACATGGTTGTTAAGTGAATCTGGTTTCCCCATTGATTTTGTCAGAAGGTCGCAAAAGACACTATAACCGTCATAAATATGAACCACTCGTCAAGCATTTGAATGTAAACCATGTGAACACGGGGGTGCTACAATAGTCATAAGTGTGAAAAATGGCCATAAGTCACTTTTTTTCAGTTGCGTTATCTTTGAACGGTCATTAAATGAACTGTTTTAAGTCCAGGACTACCTGTATTCCTGCTACTTTTTGGGGGGACACATCACAAACAGGTTTTACAGAGCTCTCAACCAGTATTCTTCAGGCAATCTATCTGGCTACTCACCTATAGCCAAAATGCCTCCTTTCCTTTCATTTGCATCTGAACTCGAGACCAACTCAAAGATGTGATGGTTCAGCTGATCGTAAAAACGTGTGGATTCTTCCTGGCTCATCTGTGCAGGAAGGGAAAAAAAAGTGGGTGCGAATTACCCAAAACCTTTCATCAAACCTTAATGGGAAAAGGACGAAACAAAACACGAAAGAAATATGTCTGATCTTAACTCAGAAAGAGAGAGGGGAAAAAGGGTTTCTTGTTTGCTTCCGTTGAAGAAAGCAAAGTTCAGAGCAGGAAAATGGGCTTCATGGTTCAGGCACAGATCACTTCTCCATCCCACAGTCACACTACGAAGGGTTTAATAAAGGAGAATATTTGTAGATCGGGGTTGACATGAGGGACTCTAGGTGTTCTCAGAGCCTGGTGGTTTTCTTGCAGACGTTTCATGACCCAAGCTAGGTTCTACAGAGGAATGATTGAGTCTGTCGTCTGCATCTCTATAACTGTCTGGTTTGGTTCTGCAACCCAACAGGACAGACACAGACTACAGAGGATAATTAGGACTGCAGAAAAAAACAATTACTACCCACCTGCCTTCCATTTGAAGAGCTGTATACTGCACGAGTCAAAAAAGAGGGCTGTGAAAATATTTACAGACCCCTCACATCCTGGACATAAACTGTTACCCTCAAAATGACGCTATAGAGCACTGCACACCAGAACAACTAGACACAAGGACAGTTTTCCCCCGAACGCCATCACTCTGCTAAACAAATAATTCCCTCAACACTGTCCAACTATTTACAAAGTCTGCACTACTATTACTATTAATCTTCTCATCCCTCCTTATCATCCATTCCCTCCCACTGGTGACTGCATGACTATAACTTTGTCGCTTGTATCCAAACGATTTTTATTGACTGTTTCCTAGTATGATTTGATTGCTTATTGTACCCTACGACTATTATTAAGTGTTCTACCTTATGGTTCTTGATGAATGTATCTTTTCTTTTATGTACACTGGGAGCCTATGCACCAAAGACAAATTCCTTGTGTGTCCAATCACACTTGGCCAATAAAGAATTCTATCTATTCTATTCTGTTCTGTTCTATTCTATTTATTCTATCTATCTATTTATTCTATTTATTCTATTTATTCTATCTATCTATCTATCTATCTATCTATCTATCTATCTATCTATCTATCTATCTATCTATCTACATTAGTGCTATGAAGAGTCTTCCCAACTCACCTCTCGGAGCTCCATGGTGACATAATGCTGCAAATCCTTTGCTGCCTTCGCCCGGGTCTCTTCATTACGGCTCTTGAGGCCACCAGCAAATTGCTGGAGGATAATGACCGTCCCAGACATGGTGGCATTGAATCTTCCTGGTTTTTCCGTTGGGGGAGAAGCGGCCGCAACTAAAACTTACCCGGAAGCAACCTGGGAAGGAGAGAGAAGAGAAACATTCAAGTCAACCCATCTTCTCCACAGTATTGGTATCCATTGACTTGTCACCACAATCGAGCCTAAAATTTCTCTGTGTTAAATGAAATATTTGTTAAATGAGTTTTGCCCTATTTTACGCCCTTTCTTGCCACGGTTGTTAAGTGAATTGCTGCAGTGGATAAGTTAGTAACCCAGTTGTTAAGTGAATCTGCCTTCCCTAGCTTTTGTCGGAAGGTCGCAAAAGGGGGATCACATCATGACCTCGGGACACAGCAACGGTCATAAATATGAATCAGTTGCCAAGCATCCGGATTTTGATCATGGGGACGCCACAAAGGTCATTAACTGTGAAAACTGTCACATTTTTGCGCTGCTGTGACCCTGAACGGTCACTAAATGAGCTGTAGTAAGTGGAGGACCACCTGCGTCAGAGGAAATGAGTTATCAGCCTTGAGCAAGGTCCACAGTGGAATAATCTTCCATAGGAACCTGCAAACTCCAGGTGTGGCTATTCTCAGCATGCCCCCACATCGTCCAGCTGCTGAAAGGCCTTCAACATCTGGCATTGCCTCCCCACGCCCCACCAGTGCCCCCCAAAGCGGGGTTGCTTTGTGGCCCCTGCAAACCTACTTCCTCAGGGAGGACTAGAAACTTGAGCAGGTGAGCTGGCTAGGAATGACCCCGTTCTCCCCAGAGCTGGGAAATCTTGGGGGGGGGGGCAGCTGGGAGGAGCCCCACGACTGAGGGGTGCCGTTCACACTGGAAGGGGGGGGCGCCTAATAAGTGGGAGGGGCCTATCAAGAGAGACGAGGGGGGTCAAGAACCAGAGGGCGGGGCCTAGGGAGTGGGCGGGGCAACTGTCTGAGGGGAGAAGCGGAGAGGTCATCGCGCTAAAAAAAAAAAAAAAAGCTGCAAAGCGGCGTTTTTCGAAGCCCTCAAATCTGGAGGCCGAAGCTCGGCGAAGGCAGCAAAACGGGGAAAGGACGGGCAGGCGCTGAGGGGGATTTCCCCGATACTCACGACGAGGCCTATCCTCCACCGGCTCCTCCGCCTCACTCCTCCATCTTCCTCCCCCTTGGCGGCCCGCTCGACTCCGCCATCCCTTTTCTCGCCTCCACTTTTTTTTTTACATCCGCCCTTTCTGGATCGCCAGCCAATCACCTTGCCGGCAGTCCAAGATGGACAAAGGGCCCAGCCAATAGAAAGGCGGGGGAGGGAAATGACAGGAAGTTATTCCCACTCTCCCGGTCTTTCTCCTACGGTGCGACCGCGGAAGGAGTGGGGGAGGGCGTAAAGATTGGCCCAATCAGGAAAGAGGACAGCAAGATTGATACGGAAGCGGGCCAACAAGAGCGGGAGAAAAAAAAGCGTTGTACACCGAGTGAGGACATTCCGCCAATGCTTCCGCCCAATTGACAGTCGGGGCTAGGATGGCGCATGCGCGAGGAGCCTCGAGCGCCGCTTCTTACCGTAATTATCAGATTGACGCGCGCGCAAATAATTTGTCCCCAAACACATTCATTTCTTCAGTTAAATGTAAGGAGGTTGCATCACTAGTAAATCCTCCCTTCTCGTCGGATTGTGGTTGGATGGAAAAAAAAAAATTCAGGAGAAAAGCAATCCTGGAATGAAAGAGAAACTTCCTACCACTTAACACTTCCTAACATTTAACCAGTGGAATGACTTGCCTTCAAAAGTTGTGGGTGCTCCATCACTGGAGGTTTTTAAGAGAGTCTGGCCTGGACAGTCACTTCTCTGAAATGGTATAGGATCTCCTGCTTTAACAGGGGGTTGGAAGTCACTAGAAGAGCTCCAAGGTCTTCCTTCCAGCTCTATTCTGATTGATTGGTTGATCTCATTGATTGATTGCCAGTGAGAATAGAATAGAATTCTTTATTGGTCAAGTGTGATTGGACACACAAGGAATTTGTCTTGGTGCAAATACTCTCAGTGTACATAAAAGATACATTCATTGAGAATCAAGAATCATAGCGTACAATATTTAATGATAGTCATAGGGTACAATCAGCAATCAAATCATACTAGGAAACAGTCCATATAAATTGTAAGGATACAAGCGACAAAGTTGCAGTCTATAGAATAGAAATAGAAATAGAATATGCTAGCTGAGGAATTCTGGGAGTTGAAGTCCAAGTTGCTAAGTTTGGAGACCTCTGGTTAAAGGGATGCTTCTAACAACGCTGTCAAAGAAGGCGAGGGAAATACAACCCACGGAAACAAAGACTGTGCAAAACTCGGCTTTCCCAAAGCTTCGCCCTGCGCTCTGAACGTTTTGGATCGCGCAGGGACGACGTCTCGCGAGAGGAAGAGAGCGAGAGAACGCGAGATTTCGCCTGTGCGGGGAATCGCCGTGGTTCTGCTGCCCAGTATGGTGGCTGCTTGCACGGGGCGCCTGTGACGGGAGGGCGGTGGGCCTCGATCTTGGCGAGCCATGGCGGCGGCGGAGAGCGGCCCGGGCTTGGGAAGCTCCTCCGAGGCGCCGGCGATGGAAAGCAACGGCGCGGCGATGGTGCTCCCGGGGTTTAGAGACGCAGATTCCTTCGTGAAGGTATTCGGGGAGGGAAGTGCGCATGCGCTTTGGCTTTCTGGGCATGCCGGGAGTTGTAGTTTCAAGGCTGCTGCCCGTTCTGACGTACGGTACAATACAAACCTAACTTTCCCAAAGTGCCAAATTAAATTATGTTAAAATCTCGCGCAAAGTGTGTGTGTGTATAGTGCATGCGTGTAAGTACCATGCATGTAAATAAGGTATATATAATGTGTGTGTCATCGTCATCAGCATCCCATTCTTCTCCAGCATGCCCTTGGCACGGTGGTCTCGGCTACCAAGGCTTCCTCTGGCCTCCCTCAGCCTGGAGATGAGTACGATTTCTACCGCAGCTTCCCGGGGTTCCAGGCCTACTGCGAAATGCAAGGGCAAAGGCTGCTGCAGTGGTGAGTAGCCCTACCAGTGGCTTCCAGCGCCAGACGCGGGGCAGGGGCCGGGAGGGAGCTCTGCCTGCAGGGGTGGGTGGGGGGGGGGGGGGGTTTGGTCTGCCGTCCAGATTGAGAAACATCATGGAACCCAGAAAGGAAGACACACTGCCTTGCACAGAGCATCCTTTCCTGCTAACAAGTGATTAATGGCCTTCTAAATTCTGTCCCTCCCTCTCTCTCTCTCTCTCTCTTCCTCTTTTTCCTTTCTTTCTTTCTCCCTCTCCTTTTCTTTCTTTCTCTCTCCCTCTCTTTCTTTCCTTTCTCTCCCTCCCTCCCTCTCCTTCTTTCTCGCTTTCCTTTCTCTCTCCCTCTCTCTCCCGCTTTTTCTTTCTTTCTCTCTCCCTCTCTCTCCCTTCCTTCCTTCCTTTCTTTCCTTCCTTTCTCCTCCTCTCTCTCCCTCTTTTTCTCTTTCTCTCCTTTTCTTTCCTTTCTCTCTCTCTCTCCCTCCCTCTTTCTCTCTCTCCCTCTTTTTCTTTCTTTCTCTCTCCCCCTTTCTTTTTCTCTCTCCTTTCTCTCTCTCCCTCTCTTTTTCGTTCTTTCTCACTCTCTACCCCTTTCTTTCTCTCCCCCCTCTTTCTTTCTTTCTCTCCCTCTCTCTACCCCTCTTCCTTTCTCTCTCTCTCCCCCTCCCTCTTTTTTCTTTCTCTCTCTCTCTCTCCCTCTTTCTTCCTTTCTTTCTCATTCCCTCTCCCTTTCTTTCTTTCTTTCTTTCTTTCTTTCTTTCTTTCTTTCTTTCTTCTCTTTCTTTACTTTCTCTCCCTCCCTCCCTCTCTCTTTCTCTCCCCCTCTCTTTCTCTCCGTCTCTCCCTCTCTTCCCCCCCCCTCTCCTTAGCATGAGTAAGGTGATGCAGTACCATGGGTGTCGGAGCCACCTTCAAGACCACAGCAAAGTCACAGAGCTGGAGGACAAATTTGACCTGCTGGTTGACGCCAATGATGTCATCTTAGAACGAGTGGTGAGCGTAGCAGCAGCAGCCCCCTTCCGGGAAGTCTCCCCAGGGATTACTCTCTCTGTCTCTCTCTCTCCCCCTCTCTCCCTTTTTGTTCTTGCGATCCGCCCGACAGGCCCACAACTTCCTTCTCTGAAATTTCAGGGCATGTTATTGGACGAAGCTGCCGGAGTAAACAAGAACCAGCAGCCGGTCCTTCCCACAGGCCTGCAGCCCCCCAAGACAATCATCTCTAGCTGGAATCGCAAGGTGAGGCTCGTTTTTTTTGGCTTGGTGTATTGAAGTGCAGGGTCTGCGTCTAGGCCAGGGCTGTCAAACTCAAGGCCTGGGGGGCCAGACCCAGCCTGCAGGGTGCTTAGATCTGGTCCCTGGAGCTGCCCTGGAAACAGCGAAGGATTGGCCCACGGTTGCAGCCCTCCCGAGCTCTCTTGAGTTGAGTTTATTGTTATTGCACCTCGTGCCATGAAATTAAATACCATCTTCAGGGTACAATTTACGACTATGAAAATAAACAAAACACACATCCTCCACATTCTGTACATTGAATTGAAAACCCCTGATGTTGGATAACCATTTGTCTGAAGTGGTATAGGGTTTCCTGCTTGGGCAGGGGATGGACTAGAAGACCTCCAAGGTCCTTTCCAACTCTGTTATTCTAGTCCAAAGCCACGTATTTTTAAATCTGAGCTAGGATGGGGGGGGGGAAACAATTAGGTTTTTACCAGCTGGGAGTTTGTCCAAGAGCATCTAAATCTTCAAACTTGACAGATTTAAGACTTGTGGACTTCAACTCCCAGAATTCCTCCTCCAGTCCATGTTAGCTGAGGAATTCTGGGAGTCGAAGTCCACAAGTCTTAAACTTGCCAAGTTTGAAGA